GGCTAGAGGACGCAGGTGGCCTGAAAGCTCAGGTCCCAGGAGTTTTCTGAGTATTGTAAACAGTCAAGTGCCTCATCTTTCACCTGACAGACTTACCATTTTTTGAGTACCTGAGGTGACAAAGCAGAGAGCTGGAATTTCCGAGGTTAGGTCTGGTCACCAGAGCCTTCTGCCTCATAGCTGGGCCAGCAACTTTTGTCCCCTGGAGGGTGAGTTTGAAGGTTTTGCTGGAGGAACTGGCCAAAGACAAGGGACATTTTCTGCTGTGTTCTGCCTCCGAGGTAGGCTGGAGGTTGAAGGGGCAAAATCTGAGCAGGAGAGGGATGGGTGGCCTGGGTAGGAGCAGAGGAAGCCTGCAGCCTCTCAAGTTGGCCTTGAGACCCTCGTAACCTGCTGGAGGAGGTGAGGATCAAAGACCTCTGACTACTGATGACTGAGGAAGTATAATTTATGTGAAGAAATCCCAGCTTCCTGGGGTTCATCTGAAACTGAATTTGACCTTCTGCTTTGCCCACTAAACATGATTTAGGCAGCAAACAGTGAGTGAAGGCAGACAGCATTTTCTTTACATTGCCAAGTGAAGAAGACCTAACGAACAACCCAATGTCCTGGTGCATTTTGAGGCCTATAGAGGCCTCCATCATCACCCTAACCAGCAGTCTCCCTGAGGCCACAGTGGCACAGCTGCTCAGGGTGTCAGACGAGCTGCCCTTCACCTTGGGCTTCACACTGCCCTTCTCGGTGGTGCTTTGGGATTTTCTCAGTTACAGTTTGAAGATCATGGTTATCTTTATGTTACAGAAACCCCGTTCCAAGCATTTCTTCTACCTAATAGTGTTCCATTTAGGAATGAAGCCTAGCAGTACTTGAGAGAATTAGAACTTAGTAAAATTCCCAGTGTTTAGAAGAAAGGGTACATTCTAAAGAAACTTCACAGAGAGAGCTCTGAATGGATGTTAACTTTGGTATCAGCACAGGCCTGCTGTTCACTTGCCTTATTGTAACTGTGGGTTTCAGTATCTAGGTACAGTTTCTTCCAGAGATGGCACAGGTCTGTATGCTGGAGTCCCTCAGCCTCTCTATGAGAGGCGCACTGGACTGAAAACCCATGTGCTGACCACGGGAGAACCAGTGTGCTGTCCCAGGCCATCCTTGGGACCCGCAGGCCTTAGGGAATCCAGCTTGGCCAGGTCTCTTGCCCTGGTGGCCTGGTACCTCACCCAGAAAGTGTGGCTTCTTCCCTGCTGAGGAAGAGCCCGTGAATTAATAACTCAGCCACCAGGAATGCTAAAAAGCACAGCCTAGTGCGTGTATTGTTTTCGAGCTGTTTCCTTGGTGGGTGGCAGGGCTGGTATTGTTTAGAAGGTTAAACTCCAAATACTAGCTCATCTATTCTCCAGCTGTTGTTTATCCCCAGGTGCCTGGAATAGTCAGGCATAAGATCTTTTAGAAACAGTTTTGTGCTGCTATACGTTTTGGTGGGTAATAACTAAGTGACTTAGTCTCTGTTTATTGAACAGGATGCAAGTAGTAGACCAAAGGACATCTGTGTCCCTTGGAGGCAGTGGCATTGAAGTGTAGCCTCTTCCATGGGTTCCTTTCTACTCCTCCCCACCCCACGGAGTGGAGCCTTTGTACAGCACCCACCAAAGGGCATGCAGGTTCTCAGCCCATTTTGTTCTTCTGTCTTTTTTTTCTGGTATCAGGGATCAAACTCGGGACCTTGCACTTGCCAGGCAGGTGCAGCATTGCTGAACTACATCCCCAGCCCCTGTTCTTTTCTCTTTTAAAATTGTATTTTTTCTTAGATGGCATATACACTGTATGATCAAAATATATGGTAAAAGTATAAAATTTTAAAAATTATTACAGTAAAAGACACATTGCCATTAACCACACTCTCAATATTTGCCCTGGCTTCAAGCACATTTATCCCATCATTCTTGCCACTTTTTTGGGGGGAGGGTTTTTTTGGGGGGGGGCGGTGAAACAGGGTCTTGCTTGGCAGTTCAGGCTGGGCCTGAACTCACTATGTACCTCAGGCTGGCTTCAAACTCAAGGCTGCCTCCACTGCGGGCACCACCACACCTGGCTCTTTTTGGGTTTTTTGACCTAGGGTCTTGCTATGTAGTTCAGGCTCACCAGAACTGTATAGCCCAGGTTGGCCTCAAACTTGCAGCCATCCCACCTCAGTCTCCCAAGTGCTGGGGTCCCAGGCATGCGCCACCATGCCCAGCTCATCCTTGTCGCTTTCTGAAGCAGTTCTGAGGTCGTCTTTTTGTGAGTGTCTTTACAAGGTATGATCAAGTATCTGGTGAATGCTGCTGCCGAGTGCCATCCACCTGAAAGACACGGCAGTGTGTCCTTATCCACCTGAGTCACCAAATCCGCAGTGTGTGCCTTCCGTCTCTTCCCCAAAGTCAAAATGACCATGAAAGGGAAAAGTTGTGAATGGATGCAGGACATCAAGGCAGCCACATCACAACTAAAGACATTCACAAAAGAGGACTTCCAGAACTGTTTCAGGAAGTTGCAAGAATGGTGGGATAAGTATATGGGATAAGTAAGGAGGACTGTTTTGAGGGAGATAATGGTGATGTGTCTTTCACTGTAATACAATTTTTGTAATTTAAACTTTCACTTATTTTTCCACCATACCTCACATGTATTATATGAAGTTCAAAAGGTACGAAAGGCCTACAGTGAAAAGTCCTGGCCCTGCCTTTCAGCCACTCAGGGTCATCAGTATTGCCAGTTCCTTAGGTATCCTTGCAGGTAGATGGTGTATTACAGCGCCCTCTCCCCCATACCACCACCGCCTCTCTGACCTCATCTGTACCTGCATACCGTCCTGTGCCTTGTTAGCTCACCTCAGCCACATGCTATAGAACTGCTGGCGAGTTCAGCTGTAGATGTTCTGGAAAGGACAGGAAGCCTGGTCTAAGACATATATAGCCGCCTCTAGCATGCCCTCTCCTGAGTGCTAAGCATTTGCACCAACCCCTGTCTCACACCTTCTCCCTCCCCCGAGCTCCATCAGTGGGTGGCACAAACCAGAAGCAAAGTGCTCTCTCTTGACACCTGCCAACCACACTCAAGCCTGCAGTCTTGCTTTCTCACTTTCTCCCAGGTCAGTCACCTTCACATCCTCATCACCCTGCCTGGCCTCCTCCATCTCTCTCAGATGACCATACTAGTTCCTGTCTCTTGCTTTTCTGCTTTTTCCTTCCTCTATCCTGTCTTCCACTCAGAATAATCTTTTAAAATCACAAACCTGATCATATCGCTTCCATGCTGGGTACCTTATAGCGGTTTCCCAGTACAAAGATCAAACTAGTAATCACAGCCCACAAGGACCCCTGTGGACCGCCCTTGCAGGCCTCCCTGGGCCTGTTTGAACTGTGTGCCGGTCAGCTGCAGGAACTCACTTGCTCACATCTGTCTGCCATTGTCTCCTGCTGCTGCCCTCCATCTGGAATGCTGTGCTCTTCGCCCGGCCTGTTGGCTATCACTGACAGCTTTCAGATCTCAGACTTCACTTCCTCAAGCTTGCCTTGGCTCCGACTGGGTCAGCTCCCCAATCAGAGCTGACCATGCTGTCTTCCTGAATGGTACTTAGGGTTAGCATTTATGTCCAGTTAACGTTTCTTTAAATTCTCGTCTTTGGTCAGGGATAGTTTCTGGCACCTATAAAGATATTTTGTAAACTATGGATGATCTTACATTAAAGGGTAGTGCATTTTTAAAATTTGTGTTTGTAAATGAAGCCGAGCTATGATGGATTATGTCCATGTTTATATGTTTACGAGTAATGAGTGGCAGAGGGAAAGTTTCCCTTAGGGGACATGGTGAGTCTAACCTAGATATTCCTCAATTCCATAGCAGAGGATTGGCATAGATATTGTTGAGATTAAGATGCAGAAAGACCCTACTACCCTCTAGCAGCTCACAGCATTTCACATTTAAAGACTTAAGATATGTCTCCAGTGGTATTTTCACGTGGCTGTGGCATTTCAGAAAGCCTTGTACAGACTGAGTACTGGAGCAACACTTTTGCTCTGAGGAAAAAAAAAATTGCCCTCATGCCTTTTTTGGGGGGGTGGGGAGGTTGGTTTTTGTTTTTCAGTACTGGGAATCAAACTCAGGGCCTTGTGCTTGCCAGGCAGGCACGACACCACCAAGCTACATCACCGATCCCTTGGTTTTGGTTGGTTTGGGGTTTTTTTGGCACCGGGGATCGAACTCGGGTCATTGTGCTTGTGAGGCAGGCGGCAGAACCACTGAGCTAAATCCCTGGCAGTTTTGGTTTTTTGAGACAAGTCTCACTGTGTAGTTCAGGATGGCCTTGAACTCATTATAGAGCCAAGGCTGGTGCTCACTTCAGCAGCACATATACTATATAACCCAGGCTGGCTTTGAATTTGTGGCTGTCCTCCTGCCTCAGCCTGGCAAGTGCTGAGATTACAGGCATGTGTCACCATGCTCAGCTTGATGCTTCTTAAATATTATTTTGAGACATGTCTGTAGAGCTAGCCCCGCTAGCACCAGGCATGGTGATGCATGCCTGTAATCCCAGCACTCAGAAGATGGACATAGCAAAACCCTGTCTCAAAAAAAAATTTTTTTTCAGGGCCGGGGACTTAGCTCAGTGGCACTGTGCCTGCCTTGCAAGCGCAAGGTCATGAGTTCAGTCCCTAGTTCTACAAAAAAAAAAAAAAAATCATCATCATCATAATATAATCCAAAAATTTACAAGACATTGTCTTCCAGCCAGGGATTTAGCTCAGTAGCCCTGCACCTGCCTCGCAAGCACAAGGTCCTGAATTTGATCCCGGTAGCCCCCCTGCCAAAAAAAAGTTTTTGTTTAAAGGACCAACCCTGCTGAAATGGAGCAAGGTCCTCAGAGATTCCAAGCCTCAAGAAGCGTGTCTCCCAGGCCTTTTGTTGAATAGGTTATGTGGTGTCCACTCACCAGGAGCTGTCTTTGTGTCTATCCCCAGGAGACCTGTAGGAAGTGTCAGGGACTCTGGAAAGAACATAACGGCCTCACCTGTGAAGAGCTGGCTGAGAAGGATGACATCAAGTACCGAACTTCTATGTGAGTAACAAGATGCGGGGGCTTCGCCGACTGACTCTCTGGTCCCCAGTACCCTGCTTTTGGCAAAAGGGGTAAAACAAGCCCAGGTCACCCCAGGCTAGAGTGATCTCAGAGAAGAGACCAAACAGCCGAGCTGTCCACTCATCTCTACAGCCTCTCAGAGCTGGTTCCAAAGTCAGACTGTGTGTGAAGTGCCTAGCATAGAGGCATCTGATAAGTGTGTGCCCCTGCCTTATTACCTAAATAAGCAAGCGGAACACATCCTCCTTAGACAGGCTGCACCAGTGTTGCTCTTGTCTCTGTTCCGCCACTCGTGTGGCCTGAGACATTAGGTAGATTCGAGGTGTATCCGCAGTAACAGTGACCATGACTTTTGCAGGGCTCCCTACATGGCTGAGGCTTTATGAGTATTAACTGATTAGAATACAGAGTTCCTTTCCACAGGAGTCTGCTCTCTCTCTTGTGTGCCAGTCTAGCTCTGCCAGGCTATGCGCTGATCTGTCCCGTTGAGTCACTCTGAGACCCAGGTGCCTTTATCTCACTCACTGCCTCCCCTTTCTGGAAGAGTAGTGTTCTCATCCTCATCATTGTGCCTGGGTTGTGGCCGCATTTATACCCCAGCATGAGAAAGGAGAGAGAGCCCGGCCCAGTGGCACACACCTGTAGTCCCAGCACTTGGGAGGTTGAGGCAGGGAGGTCGCTGAGTGTTCGAGGCCAGCCTGAACTGTTTATCGAGACCCTGTCTCAAGAAAGGAGGAAGAGCAGACAACTTGCCAGGCCGGCAGCTTTTCTTTTAAATTGTAAGTAATACAGAAATTACGTATATTGTTTCTGCTCATACCCCACTGGTCTAGACTGAGTCACATGGGTACAGCCTGCTCTGAAGCAGGAACCATATGTAGCCTCTGTGGGACTTAGTCCAACTCATTATAAAGAAAGAGAAGGGATTGTTAGAAAGAAAAAGAAGTAGTGAATGGTGTTTTGGGCAGGCAGGTACCACAGGTAGGTACTATTAGGTACTCATTTTCATTTTGTAAGGAGACAGCTGAGGCAGAGCCCAGGTAACTTTCCCATGGTCACACAGGTAGTGAGTGGCAGAGCAGGAACTTGAAACCCTGCACACAACTTCTGGCTGTTTGTCAGAAGTTTCCCCACAACTTTGGTGGGCAAAATAATGACCCCCAGCTGAGCTGGTAGCACACATCTGTAATCCCAGCACTAGGGAGGCTGAGGTAGAAGGATTGCCACAAGTTCAAGGCCAGCCTAGGCTACAGTGAGGTCCAGGCCAGCCTGAACCACATAGCAATACCCTGTCTCAAGAAAATAATAATAAAATAATGACACACACACACACCCCACCCCGTGACATCCTCCTTTCCTGACAAAAGGAACTTTGCAAGTGTATTTAAGGTTATGAGCACTGAGATGGGGAGATTATCCAGAGAACACAGTGTGGTCATATGAGAGCCCTGCCCAGCTGTGTCAGATAGAGCTACAGAGACAGCGATGAGCCGGAAAGCATGGGAAGGACTTGACCTCCTGTGGCTGGCAACAGCTCCAAGACTCGGCAGGGGACTGACCACAGATGTTTCCCAGGGGGAACCTCGTTGATTTTCCTTCTCTTCAGTACTGGGGGTTGAACCCAGGGCCTTGGCAGAGCTACATCCCCAGCCCTTTTTTTCTTTGAGACAGGGTCTTACTAAATTGCCCAGGCTGAGTTTAAACTTGAGATCCTCCTGCCTCAGCCTCTTAGAGTACTGGGATTATAGTCATATGCCACTACATCCAGCTCATCGTTGCTTTTGAGCACAACCTCTGTTCTGCTTCTGTCATTCCACTCTGAATCTGGGCCACCTCTAGATACTTGGTACTATGGCCACTCTCAGCCTGGCCACCCTTTAGGTCAGCAGTGAATAGGTCAGGGCAGAAAATTCAGATGTGATGTGTGTTGATTCCAGAATTCAGTCTCTTCCACATTCAGATGTGCTTCTTCCTCAAATGTCAGACACACGACCCACGCTTACCTGTGGAAGGATGTCCTGACACACACCTCTGACCTCCAGACCCCGGAGACTTCATAGAGATTCCACACACCTGCATTCTCCAGGGCTTTATCTCCTACTCTGTGTGTGTGTGCCTGATTAGTGCGTCCTAGAGTGCAGGCTGCTTCCTGCTCACCAGGTTCTGTCTGCATGTCAGTCAAGTATGGACCATGCATTGTCCTAGTGGGTGACAGACAGATGATAAGATGCTTTTCAACTGCCTGTGTCTCTGCCATTGGCAAGAGAATAAAAACACTTTCCAGATCAACTGCATACGAGTTGCCTAGAGCTCTGTTTGTTTACTCTGGTAAGAAATGGCATCTGGAGCAGCCGCTGCAGTTAGTTAGCACCTAACTAGGTTTGGGCTCGTGGACTGTTCCCCAAGACCTCCAGCACAGGCCTGGCAGAATGTATGAAGAATCAGTGCTCTGCATCTTTGAAGTCTTAGATGGTGGCACCAGTCTCAAGGGATGCCCGTGGGACTCTGTACTGTTTTTCAGAGGAGCTACTCCAGGAGTTGTTACTTGGTTTCCCCCACCATGTACCTCTTTCTCTGTTGACCAGAGAACCAAGGAATCCTGCCAATTTCCAGGCATCAAAATTAAGAACCTGTAATCCCAACACTCTGAAGGCTGAGGCAGGAAGATCATCACCAGTTCAAGGCCAGCCTGTGCTACATAGTGAATTCAAGGCCTAGATGAATCATAGAGCAAGACCTTGTCTCAAAAAAAAAAAAAAAGAAATAACAGGGTATGCACAGGGAATTGCAGGTGTAGGAAATGTGGCTCGATCTTGTTACCTTGAGTTACATATTAAAAAACTGCTATGGGGCTAGAGTGTAACTCAGTAGTAGATCATGTCCCTAGCATGCATGAAGCCCTCCATTCAATTCGCAGCTCTGCTAAGAAGGGAGGGAGGGGAGGGAGGAAGGAAAGGAGAGAAGGGAGGAAAGGAGGGAAAGAAAGAAAGGAAGGGGGGAGGGAGGAAGGGAGGGAACACCAACCAACCTTCTATGGTTTATACATAGTTGAGTGTGTCCCTGCCCTGCACAGGTTCATGTACTAAAATCTTAGTCTCCATTGTGGTGGATTCACATAGAGGGACCTTAAGAAGTGGGGCCTGCTGGAAGGTAATTAGGCCATGGAGGTACTTCCTTTGGAAGAGAAGGACCAAGTTAGTCTTGCCAGAGCAGATGGTTTAAAAAAAAAAAAGCATCAGGGCCGGGGATTTAGCTCAGTGGTTTCGTCGCCTGCTGCGCAACTGCAAGGACCCAAGTTCCATCCCTGGTACCAAAAAAAAAAAAAAAGCATGGGCCAGGGATTTAGCTCAGTGGTTCTCGCGCCTGCCTTGCAAGCACAAGGTCCTGAGTTCGATCTCCGGTACAGAAAAAAAAAAACCATGCCTCAGGAAACATGGTGGTACAAACCTGTAATCCCAGCTACTTTGTAGGCTGAGGCAGGAAGAGTCCAAGTTCAAGGCCAGCCTAGGCAATTTAGTGTGACCCCGTCTCAAAAAGTTCTGCCGGGCCACCTGCTGCACAAGCACAAGGACCCGAGTTCAATCCCCAGTACCAGAAAAAAAAGTTCTGCCAGGGATTTAGCTCAGTGGTTTCACCACCTGCTGCGAAAGCACAAGGACCCAAGTTCGATCCCTGGTAACAAAAAAAAAAAAAAAAAGTTCTGGGATGTAGCTCAGTGGTAGTGTCCCTGGGTTCCATCCTCAGTACCACAAAAAAATTTTTTAAAAAAGAACAAGCTTGGGCCGGGTATTTAGCTCAGTGGTTCCACTGCCTGCATCATAAGCTCAAGATCCTGAGTTTGATGCCCGGTACCAAAAAAAAAAAAGAACAAGCCTGCCCCTCCCCCAGCATCCTGTCTCACTATGTGGTCTCTTCTGTGCATGCTCCTGCCATTGCAATGTGTCTGCCACAAGGCCCTCATTACAGCCAAGTGTATCAGCTTTCCCTCGCTGGGAAAAAATACCTGACACCCATAACTTGATGAAGGAGAGATTGATTTTGATTCATGGTCTCAGAAGTTTCAGTCCATGGTCAGCCAGCTCCAAGAAACATCATGGCAGAAGGACATGATAGAGGACAGTTATTTCTCAGCATCCAGGAGGAAGAGAGCAGGGGAAGAGCCAGAGAGGAAGGAGCCAGGGACCAGTTACAGTCCCTGAGGTCACACCACCATGGCCCACCCAGACCTCCAAAAGTGTGCCTTACTAACCTCCTAGAAGTCTCTCGGGCCAGCCAAGTCAAAATTAACCATCGTATCAAGCAAATGCTAGTGTCGTGCTCTTGAACCTCCAGAACTATAAGCTGAAATAAACCTTTTCTTTGTTCAGCACCCAACCTGAGGGAGTGTGTACAAGCAATGGGAAGTGAACTAAGACAGAACCCTAACCTGTCAGTAGTGAAAGCCATGACAGGTTTGTTTTGTTCATTTTACTTTTTCATATGAAAATTTTAGCATCTATGGTAGAAATAATAGGGCTAGGGATTTAGCTCAGTGGTTCTGCTGCCTGCCTCACAAGCACAAGGGCCCAAGTTTGATCCCCAGTACCAAAAAAAAAAAGAAGTTACAACAGAAATAATAGAATAATGAGCTCCCAAAGTTAGCAACATTTTGCCACACCCCACCTTTCATTCTTTCTTTTTCTTTTGCTCTTTTCTGTTTTTAAACTGCTATAGCATTTTTTATTAGTCCATGTTTGCAGTACATAATGTTCACGTTCCTTGTGTGGAGTTGGTGTGTGCACATAACACTCAATTCCCTTTTTTCATCCTTTTCTCTCCCCTTCTTCCCCCTCCCTCTATCTCTTGCTCTTCTTCCCATTTGAGAAAGATTTGTTTTGCTACTTTCTATTACCTTTTATTTTGCTCTTTATTTATATTTTGGGTTTCTCATATAAGAGAAACTGTGTAATATATAAACTTGTGTGTCTGGTTCATTTCAC